AAAGGTGCGAATAAAATTTTTAAAACTTGTTGTACGCAGATGATTGTATGCATGCAGGTAGATATTATAGTACTTCATGTTATCGGTGTATGCACATAGTAATGTTCACAGTTTCATTTTACGTACTTTAATATAGTTTAATGAAAATAATATGATACCGTCAAATATGCCAAACGAAACTTTTGCAAAATCAAGATGTATAAGTCAAAAGCTATTAGTATTTCTTGTTACCGATATTTATTTATTTTGTACAAGTTCAAAGCGAACTTTGATTAATTTACACGAGTTTGTATGGGATACTCACTTCAGTAAGCAAGATGATGCCAAGTGTTCTGTGTTATGTTTAATACCATAATTGTCTTAGGTATGCTTTTAAATTATCATCTTTATAATAATTACTTATTGTATTCTAACAATAAATTTACAAAAGTTTAATTTACGACTTAAAAGTCCATTAGTTTAACTTCTCAAATTTGGAAATATTTAAAATCACTCCAAAACAATGGTGGTGTTCTCTGCTTACACGAAATTACAATTAATTATTGTATGGCTTTATAATTATTCACGATTTAATTTTATTCAAAATCATTTAAATTTTTGAATAACGTATAATTAATAATTATTCTTGTATACACCCCGTATACAAGCAATATATATATTATCCAAACTATAAAAAAATGAACATAATTTAAAATTGAATTAATTATCTATGGTTTTATTTTAAGTTTTGGGCTTGACACGATAAAAAACCACATTACTTAATCGTTGAAAAATTAATATTATAAACATATATATATATTATATTATAATATGTATTTGTGTCAATGTATTCAAACCACGTGAATAAAACTGGCAATCGCCCTCAAGGAATATCGTAATCGTTTTTAATTTCTATCTATTCTTCGTGGACCCTATAAAAAAATAGCATACAAATCGCTAACATAATATTGCAATACCGAATATTCGCGAACCCGATTTTCATTCCTAAAACTACCGGTTTTGTTTTTAACATCATGATGGGAGTTATTAGTGCCTCAATAGGTAGGTATATGATTTTGTCGTGCTTGTAGCTCGTTACATGTCACACAACTTTTTTCAAAACAATTTGTATTTAAAATCCTATTTATTCATTTAAATAATACTGTATATGATGACACCATTTATTTATTTGTGGTTTACCGTATATGACTGATTTTTTGATTTTTTTTTTTTTGCGGTGTTTTTATTTTTGTTTTAGTCATTCCGGTTTTTAAATGGCAACACATGTTTTAAATTTCATATTTTGATGCAGAATATTATTTTTTATTTTAAATGTTAATATTATATACAGAAACACTGAGTATTATCGAATCAATAATTATTATTTATTATTAATCTAATTATTATTTTTCTAAGTATGTACGAAAGAAATGAGTGGCAGGAAACCCCTCAGTTTCACACATTTACTAACTTTGTTAGTAAATAATACATCTTTTGTCAAATATTGGATATAAGTAAAACATTTATTACACTCAGATTTTACATGAATAATTTTGAAACACAGGCAATTTATAATTTGGTTAGCTGAAAATAAACTTCTAATTTAAAAATGTAATACATCATAAAAAGAAAAATGGTGGTAGTATATAGCCACTCTGCTGCACTGTATAGGTATCGAGTGTGCCACGTCATTGAGTAAAACGCTGTAATGGATGTATTATCTTTGAATTCAATGATAAATCATTACATACGAAAAAAGCTCCTAACCGAAGACGATCTTCAGATTATATTACTAAGTATATTTTATAATATATTTATATTGCTTTCATAATATTTTTTTTTAATAAGCCGGAAAGATGAATTAATTTTAGCCAAAAATATTGCATTTATTATATTATTAATATTAATTATTATAATGGAATATTGGAATGTATACATATCATTTATAATTGTTATTACATTTAGAGTCAATTCCAACTTGCTGTAGAACGGTGTGAATATAACTTCATTATATAAATAGGCAATTTCTTACAATTAATCTAAATATTTCGAAAATGTCATATATTTTTAGATTTTTATTGATTTCAGAATGAAATAGGAACTATTAATGAAGGACATTTAAAAAAATTACAAATCTAAGCTATACGAATTGAACATTTTATAAATTATTAACCACAAAATGATTTTCTCATTTTACTATACTTATTAGTAATTTTGACGAATTTAATTAAAAATTGAGTGTGTCAAAAACTGGTTTCGCTTGAAAATTCCCGTTTTCCTTATTTTTTTTATTTTTCGTTGTAACTACTGGTAGTTTTTTTTAAAGTATTGTGATTTTTATACTTTCAACCCCATAAATATCAACTAGATCCGATTTCAACGTTGAAAAGTTAAGCATTTTTACTGATTAAAACGGTGATGACTGAAACAAAAATAAGTAAAAAAAAAGCACACACACATCATCGAAAAATTGATCGCTCTGCTCAGGATCCTAAATGTACAAACATTTTTATTTTTTTGAAAAAAGAAACTTAATTATTGTTTAATTATACCCATATATTGTATAGATTTTATCTCCTGCTACCATTTAGTTTTATACAGACATGCGTTCTTTAAAAATCACCCATGTAAACTTCTCAGCGCAAGGCTGTCAACATTTAAATCAATCTAATAAATTTGTTAGTAAGTTGTTTGAGATTGTTAAACAACTTTCAAAGTTTGTTAGACTTTATGTTAAAAGCTAGACAACGAGAAGAGGGTATCGCAAAAATTAAGTATTGCGTTGAAAATAAAGTCCAAAAAACTTTGAAAATTGTATAACAATCTATAAAAACATACTAACTCATAACTACTAACTGTTAGATTGATTTAAATTTTCAACGTTGAATGTTAATCTTGCTTTGGTGAGTTTACAAGAGCTTAAAAATCGTGACTGTAATCTGAGACTTATTGCAGTAATTTCTTAAAAACAAGTTTGTTTTCTAGCTCCAAAACGGTGATTTTTTTTTTTTTTTTGAAGATATTATGACAATTATTGTAAGAAAACACGTTCACTAGTTTAAATAAAATTATAAATATTTTAATGAAAAATTAACATAATTATTAGTTAAAAAGTTATATTAGAGTAAAAATGAATGAGAAACTTATGATGACACAGATCAAATTAATACTGATAATTCTTGCAAAAACAATTTTATTATAATATACCCACTTATATTTTTATTTAATTTGAGCAGACAGATTAGTATAAATTGTCTGTAAATATTGTACTGTATTATTGCTGATTGTACAAGATTTTTTTTACATTTTTTAGCACGTTGAAACTTGTATGGAGGTAACTATACCTAATATAATGTAAATATTGATGTGTGTGTGGTCACTGCAGAGAATCCGAACACAATGAATACGCTAAACTTGCCTCTCAATAATTTTACATCATGTTTACGATCCAGTTTTGTACTTGCATATTATTAACTCATAATATACTTTATTCAAATTATAAATACCTATGCTGCTTTAGTAAATATGTCAATTTGTGATACGTGTTGTGACCGTTATTTACTTTATAGTCAATATCAGAAATGTAAAGTAAAAATAAATTAATACTCTTTAACTACGCCATGGAAAAAAAATCGTAGTATAAATTTAAATCATAATAATATATATAAAATAAAATAAAATAATATAATATTATAAAAATAATTTTTTAAACTTTAAATGGCATCAGGACGTTTTAAAAGTTCAAATGATTTTTAGTTTTGCCATATTTTGTTGATACTACGAGCCGTCACTATTTTAATTTTAGTAAATATGAAATTTACATTTCAAGTATTTTTTGTTGTATTATTTTTAGTTTATACTAAAAATATTAAATTCTTAGGCTACATTTTGAAAGTTTCTTAATAAATGTATATGTTCCCGGGTCATGGAAAATTCAAAGCTACCTTAATCATTGGTTGAAGCGGAAATTCTGCTTAACCCCTACTCTATATTGTGTACTACTATCAAATACATTCATTGTAGCTACTAATTAAACTATATTATCTGTTCATTGATCATTAAGTTGTGCATTTCATGTAATATGTGTAGGTATATGTAAACTGTGTACAATGTCATGTATGTGTGAATCTCTGTGAATCACTCCTTAGCAGATGATGCGCGTGGGGTAATTATTTACTCAAGTCGATATTTAATATGCTATAAATTATTTTTGTTAATTTACCATATTCCATTGAGTAATGCTATCTTTTAGTAATAATTTTCGTACAATCACATATTTCAATATTCTTGAATATTCACAAACTTTTGGTTTTATAATTGCATAAGCATGATACATCAATGGCCGTTCTTACCATTTCCGATTAAGTTTCGGTTAAGACTAACCAACAGAATTCTATAGGTAACATCAGTCGTGTGACAACCATAGATATAAAATACCTATATCTGTATTTTATATCTGTGGTGACAACTGTCATCGTCGTTTGTTGGCCATCTGAAGACTGTCCTTTGTACCTTCACCGGCTACGATGACGACGAATCTGTTGACGTTAGTATACTGGTCGAAAATGCCGACTTCGATTCGATGCCGGACAACGGTTGGCAGACGTTTGATGATTTACAGCGGGCCAATGATGTCGTGGTATCAGGTGATTACGAGGTGTACCCATTAACTGGCGAGACTGACAATCATGCCATCGGCCGTTCGTCTGCGGTCTTGAATTTATAGTGAGTCTGCTTCACGTGTTACTGTTAGGCCGTCTCGGTGACCGAACATGTCATCGTCGTCTCAGTCAACGGTACAAATCGCCACTCCAACCACTTACACAGACAATCAGCTTTCAATCCCCACTGGCCCTACCGTGTACACATAAGACGTAATCAGCGTGTCCCGTCCTCTCCTAGGCCCGCATAAAAGGATGACGTTACCATGGGAATTGTCTTATATGACGGCCTATTGAGGATCGTAGGCTGATCGGCTGTGCAGGAAGTTGTAGTAACGGTTTATTCAATGGCTGACGTCCTTATTGGCCATGCCAGAGTCTCCCCTCGACCCACCACTTACACCAGATCACTGGTGCCCATCGAAACCGACTCCTATAGAATGATCCTCGACCCGATATCGTGGCTGATCGGCCAATTGTTGTCGAACAGACTTCATGGCAAGTCACCCAACCAATTTGTCTTGTGACTGCTCTAAGCAGGAACTCATGGGCGTCCAAAGCGATATATGCTGCATGAAATATGTTGGAACGTTGCAGACATTGTGCGTAACGACAGTCCATATGGATGTTTTATTACATGGTTTTACAATGGTGGCGTATCAGCCGACGATGATTAGAAATTTGAGTTTCCCGAGTGATAGTCTCGAACCTTCACTCACCTATGCGTTTTTACTCTAGCAGCGTTTCCAGCCTTCTAGGATGCGGATGACCGTCAACCGTGGTGGGGCAATTGTTATTATACAAAGCTCTGCCGATAGACTGACAGATAGTGTAAAGATGATTAAAACTGCCTTAAATCTGCAGTTCTCATGATGATCAGTTTGCATTTATGTTATTCTTTTGCTTATTTAATATTCTTAAAATTGGTTAAAAACTTTAAATGTATTTGATTTTATCAAATATCCAACCGTTGTATTTTTTTCGCCTTATTTTAAGGTATCTTTCTACATCTGTGATAAATGGTAAAACTCGTATATTATGCACGAATGACTGTGATCAAATACTGCAGATAACTACAAAAATTACTTCTGCGGTACTTCTTATGGCTATTTGTTATAATATGCCAGTCATCTAATTTTCATCTATTTTTTCATCCACGTCCGTTGACATATTATATAGAAACTATGTGCATTGGAACTGCAATGTATAAGAATTTATAGAATTTAAAACATATTTTTTGAAAACTTGAAAATGCATTATTGAATACGTTTTCAACCTTCTAAAATTACGACACACTGCAAAACGAAAGTAAAAACTGTGCAGTGACATTAAATTGTTAATAATATAGTAATTTATTATATGATTATTGTGCTTTAATATTAATGCTGCTATGTATATTATATAATGTATATAATAAATAACATATTTAATATCTATATAGAATTAGCGCATATTTGAATGTAGGTTTTAATTTTTTTTTTTTATAGGTCTAGAGCCCGATAACTATAGCCATTAGCTATTGTGGGGGTTACGGCTGTAAGGGTGAACTTTAGAAATTGGGTGGATTTTTTTTTCAATTGTGGTTGAGGGTACAGTAGGTTTTTGGTAAACATGTGTGTTTGGTTTTTGGAAGAATTTCAAATTAGGCACCCGTAGGTTTCTGAAATGCCTAGTTGGAGGATGGCGGCCTCTCTTTCTAGACAGTTGCCTGCCCAGAGAGAAGAGCAATCCGTGGCCGAGATTCGAACCGGCTATGGTACGCGTCGGAACCGACGCCGTAGTCCACTCGGCCACTCGATTCCCCCCTATTTCAATGTTACCTATTATTTATTTGTATAATACCTATCACATATTTTCTTTTTATAGATAATTATTTACTTAATTTAGAAATCTTGTCTCCTACACTCCTACACAAGCTTACAGATCTTGGATACCAATTATTTTATATTTATATTTAATTATTTTAAAATTTTGTATAATATCTTGTGAAATAATAAAATAAATCTACTACTACTAAACCTTAATTACTGTATTTATATTTTATTATATTTTGTTATTTGCTTATAATTAAACAATAATTAACATCCACAAGAGGCAAAAACATATATTAAATTTCTTAAATAATTAATACAACAATTCGATACATCGAAGTACAATCAACTAAATATTTACCATTTCAATTTGGCGATTGGATCAATATTAAAATCGAAATAGACTAATTCGTTACCCAACTTAGGCAGGTGGCATATTTGATTTTTATGTACATAACTTCTAGAACGATATGGAACATGAAAACTGAATTTATTTCTAGGATAAACAGTGACTCTAAAACCAATTTGTGTTGAAAACTCATGACCATCTATCGTAGCGTTTATTAACTTGTACAGTGTACAGTGTACCAGAACACTTCAGAATACTTCCGAAGAGTAGCTAACGCCTAATTGGCCAATGCGGTTAGCAATGTTTAAGGTAGAGATATCAATAAAGTCCATTTTATATAAACATATGTATGTAAATGTAAAACGCATTTGTACTTTCTCAAGTTTATCGATTAGATCAAACTGAGAAGGGATCCAAACCTTAACAGACCCAAATTCTAAATTAAACCTCACCAATGTAGTGCAGTAAGACAGTTTATACCTTATAAAAATAAAAGAGTTTCTCATAATTAGTTAATACTTTAACAAACAAACTCCATAGATATTTTATAAGGTAAAATTTAGATTAAATTTAATATTTAAACGAAGAATAACAATTTTAGTTACCTATTTTTTTTAGTTTAAGTTTAAATATAGTATTTTCGGGTACTTAAAACACAACGATATTTTTAAATGCTATGTTTTCGGTAAATATTATTTCAATCCATCGTATTTCTAATAGTAAAATAAATTATTACTTTAATAGTTTAATAGCAATATTATAAAATATACTTAGTAGTTAATGGTATAGGTTGACAAACCGCCTTCGCTTAGAATCGTTTTTAGTATACATTATCCAATGATTTAATATGATTGATTTTAAATTTAACATAATATCCATTACAGTGACCTACTGGACACCTACTGTACAGCAGAGCGGTACCCACTTGCAACCCCTTTTGTGTATGAAAAAAATAATAATAAAAGCTTTTGAATCAGATAAATCGAATGGTTTTCTGCCTAATATTATAAAAGCAATTTTAATTTCATTATTATCAGGTATTAATGAAATATATTTGTAGTTATTAAAAAACATGTAAGGAAATATACACGAATAATAATTAATAGATTACAATCGGATAATTTTTAAACATATTTATTATTTGTGTGTTTATTATTAAGATTTTTACGGGAAATGAAAAAAAAAACATTTCTCTCGTGCTTTACCAATCAGCAACTTATTAATTCACGGCCTTGTATTTTCGATTACAGGTAGTCAATATGTACAACATTTTGGTAAAATGTGTTTAGTATTATTTAAAATATAATGATGGAATATAATACTTATTATGATTTATAATACAATGAAATTCAATTTTACTTTTAGTGTTTCCTAGTATTATTATTTATAATTGTGATTTTGAATAGATGTTTACTTCCAGAAAGAAATTCAAAAGAAATGTTATTTTTATTGTTTGAAATGTTATATACATCCAACATAAATAATAAGTTTTTTTACTACACAGTTTTCATAACATTTGATTGTATTTCTATAAATGATCGGTATCAGTATAATAATATATTTGAATAACATTTTATATATTCTCAAAATGTTAATAAGTTGCAAATAATTCCAGACTATGCAGACTAAAAGACGAATATTTATTAACTTTTACCGTCCCAATTTCATTTTCATAAAAAAAAAACATTTTCTTCCTTTTTTTTTATTTACTTAAAATGATTTGTTGTTACTAATAATATCGTTATTGTATTGTAAAATAGTAATTACTATTTGAGATGCTTAAACGTTTAAAATTATTACGGAAAATATACAAAGTACACCTATTGTATTCAAATGGATGTCATTCAAGAGTTTCTTGAACTGCATTTATATGATGCAAGTTAATTTAAACCGAATAATACGCTTGTTAGTGTACACTACGAGTAGTGGCTAATTTGTATTGTTTTGGTCATTGTATTATAGTCACATACTACGATATTCATAATATTATAATTATTATATTTTCGAGACAAGAACGTATTGACATTTTTTACATCCCAAAAACATAAGAGTAACAAATTCCGTAAACACGCGTGGCCTTATTTTAGATCGCATGTTAGTGTACATTTTCTGCATACCTGTCTTTCTGTAGACAGAGGAGATAAATAGAAGTCTTATATGTTATATATGAAACAAATTAATATTATTATTATGCTTGTACAAAGTTAATATTATAGTACAGCTGGTGTGTCTTGACTCAGTGCTGTAACTCATAGGCTGCATACGAATTGCGTCCCAGAATACGAAAATATAAATCGCGATATCCGAGTTGCGTCCGTTGTTTTTGCACAACACATCCGAATTGCGTCCGCGATTTTCTCACGACATGTAGGAGTTGCGTCCCGGTTAATAATTGATTAGTTGGTGAATATTATACATATTTCCCTTCCAACTTTTACAGAGGACTGTCATTTGTATAAATGGTGTGGTAAAAATTGTATATTATAAATTATTTATTGTTTTAAAATATAATGCTGATTTTGGAATCAATCGATCAATACCATCTATCCTAGTTTGTTATTGAGTTTTTGACGATTTAAAACGTTTTCGTCGTCTTTGTCGTGTTCGTAATTTAAAGCACTGAAAATTATTTCTTCATTTTCGTTCATTTTAAAATAACACTTGCATGGACGTTTTGAACAAGACCACCTCTGAATATTATCATTTAAATATTTTTGAAAAAAGAATTTGTATCCATTAATACAATATAATAGTTTATTTTTTTCACTGTACATTTTAATTATATCAAGATTTTCCATTGCAAAGTTAAATAAGTATAAACAAAAATACATAAAAATACGATGATTAATTGTCGAACATGGAATGTCGAAGTGTGACTGTCGACTGATGCTAACGCGAACAAAATTAATTTATAGATAAGATATCCATAATGGAGATTATCTACCAGTTTATCATCAAACATTATTCTTAGTCGTTGAAAAACCCGTGGACGCAATTCGTACATGTCGCGAGAATGCCGCGGACGCAACTCAGATGTGCCGTGATAAAACCACGGACCCAACTCGGACAAAATATAATTTATAGGGACGCAATTCGAATGCGCCGAACATATATTTTAGATGATTCAAATAAATATAATAATTTTTAGATTCTGAGTGAAACGATGAATGTATTGATTTTACAATGATGTGTGTTTTTTTATTTTTTTATTTTTTTATTTTTTTTGTATCTGTGTACACGATAAGTAGTCGAAATAATGCTTCGATTTTCGACTTCAGTATCTTGTTCGATTGGAAAGTGAATATCGTTGGTGCATTGGGGAGGTCAAAATTTAAATTTCCCAGTAGTTTTCACAAGCGCCGGGAAAAACAACATAATAATTACGGAAAAACGGGAATTTTTACGCAAAATCGATTTTCCAAAAATCGATTTTGGTTATTGGTGTAACTCTAAAACAAATG